ACAGGGTAGGGTCAGAAGGTCAGCAAAATGGAATCAACTTTGGTTTCAACCTTCTAGTCACTATGAGTCATAGTTGACTGGATGGCACATGACTTGAAAACCCACTCAATGCATTGACCCTTTTCTCTTTATATAATATCCTTCTTTTTCTCATAGATTTTTACCTAACACCTATTTTATCTGATATCAATATGACCATCCTTGATGTCTTCTGGACAAAGAGGATTTTGATGAGACTGATAAGGATGGATAATCTCAGTAAGAAAAAAGAGAAAGCAAAATGGTATGCATTAGGTTATAAAATTTCACCAACTTAAAATTTTTAGCTTGGTAAAGTTGGAGGCAAGGATTCTGGGGCTTCGTCTGACATACTTTGGACATGTTGCCAGGAGGGACAGGTCCTTGGAGAGGGACATCCTGCTTGGGAAGGTGGAGGGACAGCGCAGGAGGGGAAGACCCTCTATGAGATGGATTGATTCGGTGACTGGGGTAATCGGAATGGGTGTGTCAGAGGCAGTGCGGTTGGCGCAGGATAGAGCAGGGTTTAGGGCTGTTGTGCATAGGGTCGCTATGAGTCAAAAACGACTCGATGGCACATAACAACAACAACAAAGTTGGATCCTAATGGGCAAGTGTTTGTGATTTACTTTAAAGCTGGGATATTGATTGTGCTTGGAACAAAAGTTGATCTAACTTGTGTAGCATGTGTCTGCCAGTTTGCTGAACTTCAATTGCTTGGGGTTGCTGTGATACTGAAATCTTTACCACTTGTATGTCAAATTCCAAAAGGATTTCTCACCGTGGATGGGTTTTGGTGAAGGTCCCTGATTGAGATAGGCTAGGAAACAGGATGAGGCCATCTATTTCCTAAATAAAAGGTTTTTTAAAACCCTATGAACAGAACACTAAACAAGAATCATAGTTATAGTAGTATAGTGGTAGAGGTCAGATTGAAAGTCAGTTGAAATGAGAAAAATCAATAACAAACCTCGTTTAAAAATCAGTACATGGAATGTATGTAGCTTGAATGTTGGAAAACTGGAAATTGTTAAAAATGAAATGGAACACATGAATATTGACATACTAGGCATTAGTGAGGTGCAATGGACCAGCTATGGCCTCTTTGAATCAGATAATCTATGGTATACTATGCAGGAAGTGAAAAATAGAAGAAGAATGGTGTTGCATTCACAGTTAAAAAGTCAATTTCAAGTTCTACCTTGAACTACAATCTTGTGAGTGATAGGATAATTTCTATATGCACTCAAAGAAGATCTGTTAACATGACCATTATCCAAGTATATGCTCCTACATCTAGTACCAAGAAATTGAGAAGTTTTACCAAATTTTGTAGTCTGAAATTAACAGAACATGTAATCAAGATGTATTAGTGATAATTGGTGACTGGAAAGAAAAAGTAGGAAACAGTGAAGAAGGAACAGTAGTTGAAAAATATGGACTTGGTGACAGAAATGAAGCTGGAAATAGAATGAATGGATTTTGTATTTACAATGATTTATTCATTGCAAATACTTTTTTCTAAAAGACACAAAAGATTACATGTGGATTTCACTTGATGGGCTGTACGTTGAAGGCTGTGCCTTCAAGTTGCTTGCGACTCATAGCGATCTTATGTACAAAAGCCCTAAATCCTGCTCTATCCTGTGCTAGTCTCCCTACCTCTGACACACCAATCCCGATTACCCCAGTCACTGAATCGATCCACTTCATAGAGGGTCTTCCCCTTCTGCGCCATCCCTCCACCCTCACAAGCTTGATGTCCCTCTCCAAGGACCTGTCCCACCTTACAACATGTCCAAAGTATGTCAGACGAAGCCTCAGAATCCTTGCCTCCAAGGAGCAGCCTGGTTTAACCCTCTCCAGGATGAATCTGTTTATTTTCTTGGCAGTCCATGGTACATTCAATACTCTTCTCCAGCACCACAAGTCAAAGGCATCAATTCTCCTTCTGTCCTCCCTAGTCATTGTCTAGCTCTCTGATGAATAACACGTGATTGCAAAGACCATAGCCTGCATCGGATGCACCTTAGTCTCCAGAGTGACACCATTGCTCTTCAGTACCCTGGAGAGGTCCCTAACAGCAGAGTTTCCCATCACAATACGTTGGTTTTTTTTTATTTCCTGGCTACTGGTGCCAAGAGTATTGACTGTGGAGCCAAGCAGACTAAAGTTGTTAACAATCTCA